CCCTATCCACCCTGTCATACGCCTTTTCCAAATCCATAAATGCCACAAAGACCTCTTTAGCCTTATCTAAATACTGTTCACTTATATGTTTCACTGTAAACACCTTGTCCACACACCCCCTACCCTTCCTAAAGCCTCCTTGTTCATCTGCTATCCTATTCTCCGTCTTACTCTTAATTCTTTCAATTATAACTCTACCATACACTTTACCAGGTACACTCAACAGACTTATCCCCCTATAATTTTTGCACTCTCTTTTATCCCCTTTGCCTTTATACAAAGGAACTATGCATGCTCTCTGCCAATCCCTAGGTACCTTACCCTCTTCCATACATTTATTAAACAATTGCCCCAAACCCACTCCAAAACTATATCCCCACCTGCTTTTAACATTTCTATCTTTATCCCATCAATCCCGGCTGCCTTACCCCCTTTCATTTTACCTACTGCCTCACGAACTTCCCCCACACTCACAACTGGCTCTTCCTCACTCCTACAAGATGTTATTCCTCCTTGCCCTATACACGAAATCACAGCTTCCCTATCTTCATCAACATTTAACAATTCCTCAAAATATTCCCTCCATCTTCCCAATACCTCTAACTCTCCATTTAATAACCCTATATATAAAGGAACTATACATGCTCTCCGCCAATCCCTAGGTACCTTCCCCTCTTTCATACATTTATGAAACAAAAATATCAACCACTCAAACACTATATCCCCCCTGCTTTTAACATTTCTGTCATGATCCCATCAGTTCCAACTGCTTTACCTCCTTTCATTCTACGCAATGCCTCATGCAACTTTCCTAATCTGTTTTTAATGACAAATCTATTCATTCCCTAGGCTTTCTTAACTTGTTCATCTCACTCCAAAAATTTTTCTTATTTTCATCAAAATTTCTTGACAGTGCCTCTCCAAATCTATCTGCTCTCCTTTTACACTCTCTCACCACTCTTCACCTTTCTTTTACTCTCCATATACTCTGCTCTTCTTTAGCTCTAACTTTATTTGAAACCCCTGACCTAACTCATTTATTTCTCCCCACTGAATTTCTCCCACCCCCTTCAGCTTTGTTTCACTTGAAGCGAGGACATCCAGCTTTTCATCCATAACATCCACAATCATCTCTATCATTCACACAACATCAACGCACATTCAAACATCCCACTTCGGCGGTTTTTTCCTTTTTCTTTTAGTAGGATATACAGGAAAAGGGGTTACTAGCCCATTGTTCCCGGCATTTTAGTTGACTTATACAACACGCATGGCTTACGGAGGAAAGATTGTGATTCCACTTCCCTATGGATATAAAAGGAAAAGCAATAAGAACAAGAACTATTAAGATAAAATCAAAGAAAACTCAGATGAGTGTGTATACATGAACGTGTACATGTATGTATAGTGTGACCTAAGGGTAAGTAGAAGTAGCAAGACGTACCAGAAATCTTGCATATTTATGAGACAGAAAAAACACCAGCAATCATACCAAAATGTAAAACAATTACAGGCTTCCGGTTTACGCTCACTCGGCAGGATGGTAGTACCTCCCTGGGTGGTTGTTGTCTACCAACCTACAATATATATATATATATATATATATATATATATATATATATATAATATTATATATATATATATATATATATATATATATATATAATGGTGCCGAATATGTAAAACTGGTCAATTAGCAAGAACTCATTTAAAATTAAGTCGTTTCTAAAATTTTCTCATACGTTTAAAGATATATTTTTTTCATTAATGTTAATGTAAAAATTTATAATTTTACATCAAAAGAATCTTAGAAAACTTACCTAACCTTATTATAACAAGAACAATTTATTTTAGCCTAACCCAGCTAAATATATTTTAGATTTGTTTACAATAATTTAATACTAAACAAACACAGTGAAATATACTTTTTTCGTTAGGTTCAGAATGATTTTGGCGAAATTATTGCATACACAAATTTTCACTTGTCCTATATGGCAAGATGAGCGTTGCTATTTAAGCCAAGATCGCAAGTTCTGCCTATTCGGCACGATATATATATATATATATATATATATATATATATATATATATATATATATATTTGTACATACGGACAAGTGGCATGATCAATAACAACATGCCCACCATGAGCCAGGCAAAAGCAGCATGGTTTCGAGTCCTTGGCTATTCGCATTGTTACTGATTATATATATATATATATATATATATATATATATATTTATATATATATATATATATATATATATATTATGATACACGCGCATGTGTGTGTGTGTACTCACCTAATTGGGGTTGCGGGGATTTGGTTACAGCTCCTGGCCCCGCCTTTTCACTGGCCCACACTCTTTCTGCTCCCTGAGCTTTATACTTCTTAAAACTATGTATGGATCCTGCCTCCACTACATCACTTTTCAGACTATTAAACTTCCTGACAACTGTATGACTGAAGAAATACTTCCTGACATCTGAGTCTTCAACTTCCAACTGTGACCCCTTGTTGCTGTGTCTCATCTCTGGAACATCCCGTCTCTGTCCACCTTGTCAATTCCTCTCAATATTTCATGTGTCATTATCATATCCCTCATGCCCTCCAGTGTCGTCAGGTCGATTTTCCTTAACCTCTTATAGTAGGACATGCCCCTTAGGTCTGGGACTACTCTCTCTAATTTCCTGGAATGCGTGACCAGGTGAGTTTCAAACTAGTGCTGTAAACCTCAATATGGGCCTGACGTACACGGTGAACAGAGCCCTGAACGATTCCTTACTTAGGTTTGCTAGTCGCACATATGCTGCAGCAATTATTAGGTTGATGTGCGCCTCAAGAGATGTGTTCGGTATCATAATCACCCCCAGATCCTTTTCCTTGTGTGAGGTTTGCAGTGTTTGGCCTCTTATACTGTACTCTGTGGTCTTCTTTGCCCTTTCCTAATCTTCATGACTTTGCACTTGGTGGGGTTTAACTCCAGGTGCCAGTTTCTGGACCAGACTTGCAGCCTGTAAATATCCCTTTGTAGTCCTGCCTGATCCTCATCTAACTGAATTCTCTTCATTAGCTTCACATCGCCTGCAAACAGGGACACTTCTGAGTCGATCTTTTCTGTCATGTCATTCACATATACCAGAAACAGCACCGGTCCTAAGACTAACCCCTGTAGAACCCCGCTCGTCATAGGCGCTCACTCTGACACCACCTCACGTACCATGACTTGCTGTTGCCTTCCTGTCAGGTGTTCTCTGATCCATTGCTGTGCCTTCCTTGTTATACCTGTCTGGTCCTTCAGCTTTTGCACTGGTCTCTTGTGTGGAACTGTGCCAAAAGCCTTTTCACTGTCGAAGAGAACGCAATCTACCCATCCCTCTCTCTATCTTACTGCCATTACCTTGTCATAGAACTCCAGCAGGTTTGTAACACAGGATTTCCCAACTCTGAATCTGTGCTGGTTGTCGTTGATAAGCTCACTCATTTCTAGGTACTCCACCCCTCTTTTTCTGACAATTTTCTCCATGACTTTGCATACAGACACTGGTCTGTAGTTTAATGCTGCTTGTCTGTCTCCTTTCTTAAAAAATCGGACTACATTTGCTGTCTTCCACGCCTCAGGTAGTTGCCCTGTTTCGATAGATGTGTTGAAGACTTAGTGGTGCACAGAGCGCCTCTGCTCCTTCTCTCAGGACCCATGGAGAGATGTTATCCGGTCCCATCGCCTTTGATGTAAAGTTCACTTAGCAGCCTCTTCATCTCCTCCTCGGTTCAATGTATTGTGTCCAGCTCTTGATGGTGTACCCCACCACTTTTTGTCTCCACTGTAAATACTTTCTTAAATTTCATATCGAGCTCTTCACTTACTTCTTAGTCGTTTCTTGTGATCTCCTGTCCTTCCTTCCTCAGGATTACTTGGTTCTTGACTGTTGTTTTCCTCCTGATGTCATTGTACAACTGCTTATGCTCAGACTTAGCTGTCGCTGCTACATTATTTTCGTATTGTCGCTGGGCCTTCTTCCTTACCTATGCATATTCATTTCTGGCTCTTCGATTTATCTCCTTATTTTCCTAGGTTCTTTGTCTTCTGTATCTCTTCCATTCTCTAGCGTACTTAGTTTTGACCTCTCTACACCTTTGGGTGAACCAGGGGCTCGTTCTGGCTTCTAATTATTTATGGTGCCCTTGGTATGAACCTCTCCTCTGCTTCCTTGCATTTTGTTGTATCATATTCCATTATTTCACTTCTTGATTTCCCTGCCACTGAACCCTGTACAGGAAATTCCTCATGCCTGTGTAGGCCCCCTCTTTTGTAGTTTGCCTTCATTCGTCCTGCCCTTCCTGCTTCCCTCTTCACTTGTAACTATGTACTCGAAGCTCAGGACCACGTGATCACTAGCTCAGAGGGGCCTTTCATATGAGATGTCCTCAATATCCGAACTACTCAAGGTAAATACTAGGTCCAGTGTTACTGGTTCGTCCTTTCCTCTCTCTCTGGTAGTCTCTCTAACGTGTTGATGCACGAGTTTTTCCAGTACTACATCCATCCTCTTAGCCCTCCACGTTTCTGGGCCCCCATGTGGCTCCAGGTTTTCCCAGTCAGTGTCCTTGTGTGTGTGTGTGTGTGTGTGTGTGTGTGTGTGTGTGTGTGTGTGTGTGTGTGTGTGTGTGTGTACTCACCTATTTGTGGTTGTTGGGGTCGAGTCTTAGCTCCTGTGTGTGTGTGTGTGTGTGTGTGTGTGTGTGTGTGTGTGTGTGGATGTAGTTTGGTGAGTGCGCGCTTGTATTTGTGCGTGAGTGTTGGTGTGGGAGACCCATAGCCTCGGTAAAGTAAATACAAAAGCTTCCAGGAAAGATACAGAAATTTCTTCTTTAAGTCTGACTGAATATTCTACTTTTCCCACTACCCCATCTTTTAGACATATGCATAGTATACTATACTATGCATAATGACATAAAAGTTTACAGGATGAATTGATGGTACAAGGAGGTGATTAACATGGCATATAAATTATGGCATATAAATTACAACATATACATTATGATGACAGGTCGGGGACTGGCGGGAACCACGCACTGTTTTAATATCACTCACTCCTGCTCTTCTGATGAAAGGTACGACGGGAGGGAGTCACAAGAGAAGGATAGTGTGAGAGCAGAATCCCTGATGAGTACCTCCCGCGGTACCGCCACTCTCACTCTGGCCAGGATCACTCTCCTCCACGCTGGCATCTACGAGTGTCGTGTCGAGTTCTTCCGCTCTCCCACACACACCAGCCTCGTCAACCTCACCGTCGTCGGTAAGTTAGATTATTTTCTCATGTACTGTTCTGTTTACCTTATAAGAGTGTATGGATTAGGATCTTAGTAGAAGATCAGGACTTCATCCTTAGAGGAAATATTGCAAAATGAAAATAAGCAATAATTATTAAAAGTAAACAGAGAATGGACGTAATCAAATCATTTAAAATTATGACAAAAATAAAAATACAAACAGTAATGTTAATACTAATTGAAACAGAGAAAGAAAATCTAAAAAAACATAATAAGAATTGACTAAATGCTAATCAATAAAGAAGAGGTGATAGTGAACACGATTTGCGACTTATAGGCTGTGAAAGAATATTAATTATCGAGATCCAGCAGTAGAGAATGCACCTCCACAGCCAAGTAATTGCGGTCATCAAACAGCTGATGTGGAAATAAAGCGGCAGATATGAATCAGTCGAACTATTCTCCGAGTTTGTTGGCTTCACAAGTCAGAGAAGATAGGCTGAACCCATGTAAAGGTGATGGAAGATATGGGAGATTCAAACTCCATCGGGTGTCAGCTGCTAATGAGACGGAGTAGAGTTCTGAGCTAGCAGACAGGCTAATCGTGTAGACTGGCGCAACACAGTGACCGCAACAATACACAGATAACCCGCACATAGGAGAATGAAACTTATGACGACATTTCGATCAGTCTTGGATCATAGTCACACACAGGCGTGAAGGGAAGGGGCAAAGGAAGGATATCGCACAAAGAGTCATCTCGTAAACCAACAAACGGCTCTGACTAACAGGAAAGTGACTCACAGACCCAGGTGAAGGAGACTGGAGTGGGTACAGCATGACACAGTTACGCGACACAGATCGGCTGCCCCACTTTTTATTTGTAGGTAACGTGATCGGCGGTTACACTACGGACTGGAAGGAGAAAACATTGTAGTTTCAATAGAGACATAAAAATCTTAACAAATTATGGTGAAAAACATTAAACTGACATCATGTAACATGAGTTTAGAGAAACACTGATGCAAGCCTACTGGCCCATATTTGGCAGGTCTTTCGTAAATCCTAAGTCAGCACAGATAATGACTGGACGTGAAATAACGAACACCAAAGAAAGTACTGTATATATGCGTATGAGGGTGTAGAAATATGATTCAGAGAACCGGCAAGTTGATAAATTAGACACGGGAATCTTTATTGAGGAAAATTCCGCTACACAGTGGTTTCATCAGTCCAGTATAAAGAAGTGTGGTGAAGATCACATGGAGATTGAGGGAATCAGTCCCTCAGCCTGGAGTCGATGTAATCAGTCCATCAATCTTTTCTAGACTGATAAACTAATTACATCGACTCAAGGCTGAGGGACTGATTACCTCAGTCTCCTTCTGATCTTCACCACCCTTCTTTGTATTGGACTGATGGAGCCACTACGTGGCGAAACGTTTCCTCACTAGTCCAGAACTCACTTCTCCGGCAGCTTCGATGGTTCGGGACAGTGATTTCAATCTTGCATGACCACCGCTTGGCCAGTTGTGGCACCACCGCTTGGCCAGTTGTGGCACCACCGCTGCCCCATATTGTTTACGTCCGCCACAGCTGACTTACAGTGGTTGATGCTTCAATATTACCTTGGATTACTGTCATTTTACCCTTCAAGTGGTGGTAACGCAACCCTGGAAATAATTAAAGCTCAATAAGATGAGGACCTACAAGAGTGGATGAACGGTGACTCGTATGTCCCAGTCGTCAATCAAACGACATGCTAAGAAATTCTAAGTATGGTACAGGGAAACAACAATAAACAGGAGATGAGTGCAGATATCGATGAAGATGATGGATAAAGCGCAAGATGAAGAAAGATTTTCAACCGACAGGTTTACTCAGTTGGCAACCGACTTAATTGCAGGGCTTGAGCAAAGAAATTTTAATCTGAGCAAGAAGTGATGAGTTTGTTTATGGTAAGGTAAGGCAGGATCTTGTCAAAGTGGAGCCTAAATGTATGAAGCGCGAACACCACAAGACATGTTTCAGAGGATTACACACATGTCCCGCAACACAACCCACATGTCCCACAACACAACCCACATGTCCCGCAACACAACCCACATGTCCCGCAACACAACCCAGATATAGACCTTCCAGATATTACTCAACTTTAATTTATATTGCATATAGAAACATTTTGGAAATGGATATGCAGTAATACAGTGCAGTATGTGCATTATTTTTGTCATTTTTTACACAAACCTTCAATGGTTTGGAAAATCCTCTACTCCGGCACCTATTTGGTACCAAGCTCGCCGGACCAGTCAGGTTCATCATATATATATATAATATATGTCGTGCCGAATAGGCAGAACTTGCGATCTTGGCTTAAATAGCAACGTTCATCTTGCCATATAGGACAAGTGAAAATTTGTGTATGCAATAATTTCGCCAAAATCATTCTGAACCTAACGAAAAAAAAATATATTTCACTGTGTTTGTTTAGTATTTAATTATTGTAAACAAATCTAAAATATATTTAGTTGGGTTAAGCTAAACTAAATTGCACTCGTTATAATAAGGTTAGGTAAGTTTTCTAAGTTCCTTTTGGTGCAAAATTATAAATTTTTACATCAACATTAATGAAAAAAATATATCTTTAAACTTATAAGAGAAAATTTTAGAAAGGACTTAATTTTAAATGAGTTCTTGCTAATTGACCAGTTTTACATATTCGGCACGACATATATATATATATATATATATATATATATATATATATATATATATATATATATATATATATATACACACACACACACACAACAAGTCGGCCGTCTCCCACCTAGGCAGGGTGACCCAAAAAGAAAATCCCCAAAATGAAAATACTTTCATCATTCCAAAATTTCACCTCACACATAATCACTGTTTTCGCAGAGGTGCCCAGATACAACAGATTAGAAGTATATATGAAGATGCAATATAAAAAGTGACCTGAAATATAATAAACTCCATACAGAATATAATAGCAGGGCTCCAATTATATATATGCCGTCCTATTACACATCCCTCCAAACTGCCAATGTCCCAAACCCCTCAAGTCTGGCTACATAAAAATGACTGGTTTCCTTGAATCCCTTCACTAAATATTACCCTGTTCACACTCCAACAGCGCGTCAGGTCCCAAAATCCATTCGTCTCCATTCACTTTTAACACGCTCATGCACGCTTGCTGGAAGTCCAAGTCCCTCGCCCACAAAACCTCCTTTTCGAGGACGACCCCTACCCCACCTTCCTTCCCCTTGAGATTTATACGTTCTCCATGTCATTCTACTTTGTTCTATTCTCTACATGACTAAACCACCTCAACAACCCCTCATCAGCCCTCTAATACTTTTATTAACTCCACACCTTCTCTTAATTTTAACACTTCGAATTCTCTGCATAATATTTACACCACACATTGCCCTTAGACAGGACATCTCCACTGCCTCCAACCACCTCCTCGCTGCTTCACACCCATGTAAGAGTGTTGGTACCACTATACTTTCATAAATTCCCTTCTTTGTCTCCATAGATAACAGGTTTTTTTTTGTCTCCACATATACCTCAACATACCACTCGCCTTTTTCCCTCATCAATTCTATGGTTAACCTCATCCTTCATAAACCCATCCGCTGACACACCAACTTCCATATATCTGAAAACATTCACTTCTTCCATACTTCTTCTCTCCAATATATCCAATTTTCTTTATCTAAACCATTTGATACCCTCATCACCTTACTCTTATCTATGTTCACTTTCAACTTTCTACCTTTACACACCTTCCCAAACTCGTCCACTAACCTTTGCAACTTTTCTTTAGAATCATCCATAAGCAATCATCAGCATAAACTAACTGCATCAACTCCCATTTTGTATTTGATTCCCCATTATTTAATCCCACCCCTCTCCCCCAGCACCTTAGCATTTACAACCCCATCTATAAATACATTAACCATGGTGAAATTACACATCCCTGTCTAAGACCTACTTTTACCGGGAAGTAATATCCCTCTTTTCTACACAACCTAACCTGAGCCTCACTATCCTCATAAAAACTCTTTACAGCATTTAGTAACTTACTACCTATTCCATATACTTGCAACATCTGCCACATTGCTCCCCTATCCACTATCATATGCCTTTTCATTGCATTTATATGCAATGAAAACTTCCCTACCTTCATCTAAATACTGTTCACATATATGCTTCAATATAAACACTTGATCTACACATCCCTTACCCACTGTAAAGCCTCCTTGCTCATCCGCAATCCTTTCAATAATAACCCTACCGTACACTTTCCCTGGTATACTCAGTAAGCTTATTCCCCTATAATTTATACAATATCTTTTGTCCCCTTCCCTTTATATAAAGGAACTATACATGCTCTCTGCCAATCCCTAGGTACCTTCCCCTCTTTCATACATTTATTAAACCAAAATACCAACCACTCCAACACTATATCCCCCCTACCTACTTTTAACATTTCTGTCATGATCCCATCAGTTCCTGCTACTTTACCCCCTTTCATTCTATGTAATGCCTCACGCACCACTCCCACACCCACATCCTGTTCTTGTTCACCCCTAAAAGATGTTATACCTCCCTGGCCAGGGCATGAAATTACCGCCTCCCTTTCTTCGTCGACATTTAAAAGTTCCTCAAAATATTCCCGCCATCTACCCAATACCTCCAGGTGCCCATCTACTAACTCCCCTACTCCGTTTTTAACAGACAAATTTATTCGTTCCCTAGGCTTTCTTAACTTGCTTATCCCACTCCAAAAAATTTTCTTGTTTTCATTAAAATTTATTGACAGTGTCTTGTCAGTGGAGCTCCTTCCATGTGAGCAAAAAACTAATGGAAATATAAATAAAGAACGACTCTAGGAATAATAAGAATATTGTCTTTTGAGGATTTTACTTAAAATTTTAATATAATAAAAGTGGCCTTTGGTTCTGGTGCTGTATTAGGGCAGGAGTAGGTAAGGCCC